TAGAGATTAGAAAAATTCATAGGTAAACAAGATTTGATATATTTAGTAAGGGGAGGGTTTGCCATGTCGTAGATTACAGGTTTATTAGAAGTGCATGGTTGTGCGGAAAGGTTTCAGCCGTCTTAGATCATTTTTTATAACAATTTAGCCAAGGTTGTGTGCTTTAATGAGATGGAACATAATTTCTCTTTTATACTAGCCTGTATGCTTTCTGTCAATTCATAATCCTAGATTGTGAGCTGAATTCATTGGTGTAATGATATGTTGAAGTAGTATAAAGAAAATTGTAAGTATTATGATCTTTATTTTCCTTTATTATCTAGTGGCTAATTTCCTTGATTATATTTTCTTCTTATCATCATCATCATTACTATCATGGATTATCTTTGGCAATATATTAAAGTAGAAGATAGTTAAGATAACCCATATTTTTTGTCTTTGTCAATCTTGGGATTATTTACACTATATTGATATGGAAGATCCTATGGAAATCCATTATATCCTGACTTTAATAGAATTTATTTCATAATGAAACCTCTGATACAATTTATACCCTGTAACAGAGATGATGATGTGAAAACTTAAATTGCAATATATCTTACACCAACCAATCTCCACAGCAAAGAATGGCACAGGGAGGAGGACTTAGCGGCACTGGGAAGCTGCGGCAGTTCATGTGCATCGAGTACCCGGGTCTTGTGAAAAATGTTGACAAAATGCTCGAGACTCTCGGAGGTGTAGAGAAGATATCGGAGGTGAGGTTGATCCCTTTGTTGCTGTGGGAAGGTTGATGTGAGGATGGGGGCTGGGGAGAGTGAGTGAGTGAGTGAATAAGTGTGTGAGAGTGTATATGTATGTGGATGGGTGGGTGTGGGTGTTGGGTTATGCTGTGTGATGATAAGAGACATTATTATTTTATTAATAAACCTAGAAATAGTTGTAATAAAAAGATATATCTTCTAAAATTCCAAGGGATGAAGTAAAACAGGTCAGATAGGCTAAGTAATTGACTATTTAGTGACTAAGCACCTGTATTTACCCACCTATATGTAGACAATATTAATTAAACAAAACTGCTGTGCATGCATTCAAGTTCCTGGAGCCAAGATGTGAAGGTAATTTTCCATGAGTAACAGAGACCAAGGAAAATGGAGAACAGAAGCTTTAAGAGTATGTATGTATTTTATCGCCATTCTACCTCCAAATTATTCTCATTCCCTGTTACCCTTTTGTCTCCTAGTCTACTGGAATTCTGCAAGGAAGTTAGAACAGCGATATTTTTGTTGTATCTATTTATGCTTTAGAAAATTTGTATTTATAATTATGTTTCTGGTTAAGACTCCCTCTTCTATAAAAAAGAAAAAAAAAGAAGAATGATAATGGTTGATAAATGAAAATATAGAAAAGATTATAATATTAATAATTTTTGTCAGCACCTTTCGCAGCTTTGCCCCGTTTGTAATTGGGTTGCTGAATTTATCACCATGCTTTGATAAAATTATACTGTACTTCCTCTTACCAGGTGCAGAGGCAAAGCTGCTTAATTTATTACATTCTCTCTCTCTCTCTCTTTCTCTTTTTCTCTTTTTCTCTTTTTCCTCTTTCTCTTTTTCTCTTCTCTCCTCTCTTTCTCTCTCTCTCTTTCTCTCTCTCTTCTCTCATCTCTCTCTCTCTCATTCTCTCTCTCTCTCATTCTCTCTCTCTCTCATTCTCTCTCTCTCTCTCTCTCTCTCTACTCCTCTCTCTCTCTCTTCTCTACTCTCTCTCTCTCTCATCTCTCTCATCTCTCTCACTCTCTCTCACTCCTCTCTCATTCTCTCTCACTCTCACTCTCTTCTCCTCTTCTCTTTCTTTCTCTCTCTCTCCTCTCTCTCTCTCTCTCTCTCTCTCCTCTCTCCTCTCTCTCTCTCATCTCTCTCTCTCTCTCTCTCTCTCTCTCTCTCTCTCTCTCTCTTCTCTCTCTCTCTTTCTTCTGTCTCTCTCTCTCTCTTCTGGCTCTCCCTCTTTCTCTTTCTTCTGTCTCTCTCTCTCTCTTCTGGCTCTCTCTTTCTCGTTCTTCTGTCTATCTGTCTCTCCTATCTCTCTCTCTCCTCTCTCTTCTCTCTACTCTTCTCTCTCTCCTCCTCTCTTCTGTCTCTCTCTCTTCTCTTCTCTCTCTCTCTCTCTCTCTCTCTCTCTCTCTCTCTCTCTCTCTCTCTCTCTCTCCTCTCTCTCTCTCCTCCCTACATCCTCTTCTCTCTCTCTCTCAAACTCTCCTCTCTCTCTATCTCTCTCTTCTGTCTCTCTCCTCTCTCCTCTCTCTCTCTCTCATCCTCTCTCTTCTCTCTCTTCTCTCCCCTCTCCATCCCTCCTCCTCATCTCTTCCCTCTCTCTCCTCTCCTCCCCCTTCCTTCCTCTCCTCCTCCTCTCCCCTCTCCATCTCGCTCTCTCACCACTCCCTCTTCTCTCTCGCCTCCTCCTCTCTCCTCCTTTCTCTCTCTCTTTCTCTCTCTCCTCTCTC